GTTCAACTTTCTTCCCTTCTGGCAGTGAGAAATTGCGAGAATAATCAGAGATAATGTAACATACTTTCAAATTAGGGCCACTTCACAGGGGACGATTATACGCCAATATCCTGCACAGTAGGCTACATTCCAGCCGTGCAGATATAGATACACTCACCTCCATCAAGACAAGTAAGAGACATTAGCACAGTTCAAAGCACTCGAGGATGTTGGTGAGGACTGTTTCCTGTAGAAAGACACAGTGGACTGTTGGAGGGGGCTTAGTGCACAGGAAATGGCACAGAGTCAGACCAATGGCCCATTTATCTCAGTTTTGAAAAACGCTGACTGATGAAAGCAGCTTTCCAGCGTTTCAGGCAGATGAAAATAGGGACATTTCTTATTTCCCCTCCAACCAACCTTGCCCATTTTTGTACCCTCCTTGCAGAGCATTTCCTATCAGATAGGGTTGCTATATTTCAAAGTGGTTGAGCTTTCTACAAAAGCGCTGAAAAGAAACACTGTTTTTGAGCTATTTTTAAGGGGAAATGGCAAAAATGGCACTGTTGACATGGGCTGCCATACGTCTGGATTTTCCCAGATGTTTCCCTGATTTCCGCCTGGACACTGCTGCCAACTGCAGTATTACGGATATGTCCAGGATGTATTGTGACCCCATGTCAGAAGTGGAACAAAATGTCACCACCACTACACAAATGGGACACAGCACACACACCCTCCACCGTAGAGCCAGTGTGGTGTAGTGGTTAAGAGCAGTAGACTCGTAATCTGGTGAACCAGGTTCGCTTCCCTGCTCCTCCACATGCAACTGCTGGGTGACCTTGGGCTAGTCACACTTCTTTGAAGTCTCTCAGCCCCACTCACCTCACAGAGTGTTTGTTGTGGGGGAGGAAGGGTAAGGAGAATGTTAGCCGCTTTGAGACTCCTTCAGGTAGTGATAAAGCAGGATATGAAATCCAAAATCCTCCTCCTCCTCCTCCTCTTCTTCTTCTCCACCGTCCTCAGAAAACCCTTTCATCCCCATTTTCAGATTCAGATTTAGATTTATTACGGCCATTGGCCCATATCAAAAACAATACATCAGAATTTATCCATAAACAATACAATTTAAACAGTTCCAAGTTAAAACACCCTTATAAAACCAATTTTACTTTAGTTAAGTAAACACTATACATAATAAGCTCCTCTATGTAAACCGCAATTCCGATCCATCAGATTTTGGGGGTATACGTCTTAGTTCTGGCACTTATTGATGGTTCTTAAGTTTAGCTAAGCTGTCAGAAACATACAGTGATCCATTTCTCCTCTTTTGAAATAAAACATTAATCAGGTATCTAGCGATTGCAAGGGATCTACTTGTATCTTCGTCGTTTAATAAGTATATTATTTGGGCTTCCTGAGGACTGTCAGCAATTCTCGATAAATATGGGGCCAGAAACTTGGACCGTGAAGCCGAATGTAATGGACAACAGAAGATTATATGATATAACGATTCTATAGATCCGCTTTTACAGTCACAGAGGAGTGAGATCTGTCCGTTGGAGAGTCTGTTACCCAACACGTTTGATGGGAAAACATTGAATCTAGCCATTATAAAGGCATACCTGTGCGTCACCACAGATAAGGTAGTTAAGTAAGATGGAAGTTTCGTTGGTGGAGTTAAGCCAAGGTTTATCGGCGAACAGGTGCCTCCACCTGTCGCAATATTAAATTGTAAATCCATCTCCTCTAATTTGTGAGTTATAATTCTTTTGGCCGAGTTAAATCCAATTTTAATAGTTCGGATGGAGATAGTCCTAGGGACACAAGTTTCCCATGTATTATTTTTGCCCAGGGGCTAGGGAAGTCATCTCTCCAGAGGCATTGTATCAGGTGGAGATTTGGAAGTTTATGCCATAAAGCCAACCAGTAACAGAGGATGCATTTCCATAATGTGGTTTCTAGAGATGTAACATTTAGTTCCAGTCGTATAGCAGTATTGCTTACACACCTGGGTAATTTTAACAACCTTCTTAAAAGCTGGTTTTGGATTACCTCCAACTGGGTTAGATTAGCAAAGGACCCCCATAATGGGACTGCATATGCTATTGTTGCAATCACCTTTGCCTTGAAAACTTTTAACACTGATGGAATATGGAAAGCCCCATCTGAAAAGAAAACGCAATAGCGCATAGGAAAGGGCTTTAGCTCTGTTTAATACATATGCAACATGGACCTTCCAGCCCATGTTGTGTTGGAGGAAGACTCCCAAGTACTGAAATTTAAAGACTTGGTCAATAGCTTTTCCGTCTATTCTCCAATTATAGGTTTTTCGACTCTTGGTGAAAATTAGAACTTTGGACTTAACATGGTTAATTGTAAGAAAATTTGATTTACAGTAAACATCGAAAATTTTTAATGCCCTCCTAAGGCCGACTCTTGAAAAGGATAGGATCACTGCGTCGTCTGCGTAGAGTAGAAGGGGGCAACGATATTGGGCAAGACGGGGGGGCGTGGATCGTTTCTTGAGCCTCTATCAGAGGCGCCCTCATATCACTTATAAATAGATTGAAAAGGGTCGGAGCAAGGATACATCCTTGGCGAACACCTCTATTGATAGTTACTGAGTTTGAGAGGTCGCCTGCCGGAGAGATTCTCACCCTAGCGGCCGATCCGTCATGCAGTTTAGTTATTAGCCACAAAAGTCTTTTGTCTATTCCCCATCGGGCTAGTTTTCCCCAAAGCAATCCTCTGGGGATGCTGTCAAAAGCGGCCTTTAAATCAATAAAGGCCGCACAAAGTTGGCCTCTATTTGGGGAGGAGTATTTCCGGGCAAGGTGGTATAAAACTAAGATCTGATCAACCGCTGACTGATTCGGTCTAAAACCAGCCTGTTCAGGCCCAATCAGGTTGTTCTCTACGGCCCACTTAGTAAGCTTAGTTAACAAGAACCGTGCATATATTTTCCCGATTAATGACAATAAACTGATATTCCTGTAATTTCCCGGGTCATCTGTCGAGCCTTTTTTATGAATTGGAACAATAATCGCATCCTTCCATATTCTTGGTACCTTCCCACTGTTGTTTACGGCATCAAAGGTAGCGGCCAAGATTTTCGCCCACCAGTCAGCATGAAGCTTTATAGCTTCTGCCGGGACTAGATCAGGACCGGGGCTTTTCCGATTTTAAGATTAGAAACAAGTCCGTGGATTTCTTCCGGGTCAGTGGGTGGCCAAAGAGGAGCTGCTCATAGACTCCATCGATTGTATTAATATTAAGGTCTGGTAAGGCAAAATAATTCCTTAGAAAGGATTCCCAAATTGGGGCAGGAATAACTGTTAAGGGGTATCTTTTAGATTTTCTGTTAACCAACAGCCAGAATTTTCGGGAATTACGGGTACTTGAGGCAGCTATAAGTGCTTGCCAGCGGTTCAATTGCCATTCCTGTTTGGCCTTTTTCTGCACATATTTGTAAGCTGATTTTGCCTGATAGTACTCCTTGGGAAGCGTAATCGCCCCTGAGGATTTGTAATCATTATAAATAGCACAAAGATGTTGTTTGGCTTGTTTGCAATTACGGTTAAACCACGGTGCACCTGTCTTGGGGTGGGCCCAATTTGCCTGGTGGGTTGGGACAGAAAAGAATGACGTGAGGTCATTCAACAGATTGGCAAATAGATTAATAGTTTGGTCGTGATCATATGAAGTTATGCCAAGGGCTGAATAGGTTTGTATGATCTCCTGCTGAAAAAATTCAGAATATTTTTGAGCCTGCGTTACAGACCACTTTATACCCTTCACTCGTAATGCCGTATTAATACCCTCTACCTGGTTTTCTGCATTAGTATCTAATTGAGTTGGATGACCATGCTCATCCCCGTGCCAGTCTAGGTCAAACGTAGCAGCAAGTGGAAGGTGATCACTATAGTGAATATTGCCAATCTTAAAAGAGAGCTTTCGAAATCAGGTCACTCGAGGCTAAAAGGTAATCTAGCACACTGTTTGATTTTATGCCTAGGTGGGTATACTCCCCCGGTATATCAGGAGGGCAGCAGCCATTCAGGGGTTCTAAGTTTAAGCGAATAGCCATCTGGTAAAGAAGTACTCCAGCCTCGTTTACTTTGGAGTCTTTTGAGGCTCTCCCTAAGGCATGTCTCAAATCATAATTGTCAAGGCATGGAGCAGTCCACCATTTAGCTTTAGTTAAATCAGCCCAATTTGCTGCTATACGTGCGTTGAAGTCACCACCAATTAAGGATTGGCTATTGGCATATTTGACTCGGCATGATACTAAATGATCTTCTAATATTTCCCATCTATCATGCAGTTCAAGGGACGAACCCCTGGCGGGAGGTAGACATTAGAGATTAGCAGTGATACTTTTCCCCCCGACATCAACCCGGATAAAGCATAAGGGGGAGCAGTCAAAACTAGTGAAAATTTGAAATGCAGCTTCAGTGAGATACCAATTACTAGACCACCTTTCGGCCGTCCTCCTTTCTGGGAGGGATAAGCTGGAAGGGATAATAGGTCGAATCCGTTTATGACAATTTCACCCTCCTCCCAAGTTTCTTGCAATAGAATGATATGAAACGAGTTGATATACGACTGGAATTCTGGGTCACATTTTTTCCTACGCCAGCCAGCTATGTTCCAACAGAGGATTGATATTGGTGGTTTTCTGGATTGTCCGGCTAACCGTCATTTAAATTCTTGTGGGGGGCTCTTATGCGACCAGGACGCTCCCTTAAAGAAGTCCGTTATTTTCCTTTGCTGAAAGTTGTCGTCCTGGTGTGGTGAGTCTTTGCTCTGGTGCACACCGGTTGTGGGGAGTCTTTTGCTCTAATGCGAGCCGGTTGTGGCACGATCGACTCACGAAGGCCAGAATTTTTGGGAGGCAGAAGAGAGTTAGCATCCTGGTGGGTAGGGATAATATTTGGCGTTTTTAGCTGTCGGGTCCAACTAGGCTCTGAAGAGGCTCCTGCCAAGTCCGCTGGAGCCGTCCTCTTTGGGGATCTAACCGATACACTTGTGATCCTTTGATTTATATGTCCTGCTGGGTCTTCAATCCACTCTGTGGTGACTCTCGACACTGTAGTGTCTTCCTCACGTAATTGTTGGATTTTTGGTGGGCAAGAGTGCGCTGGAGAAGCCTGACTTGGAATGGCCACTGCCGTCTCAGGTCGTGGATGGTCTTCGATGTATGTTGATTCCAAGTCCGGCATGGAGGAATGAAGGGACAACAATTTATCCAGGGGGGGTGTTATCCTGAGTTCCATTCTTTGATCGGTTAATCACGGAGGGGACAGATAAGTCTATTAGAAGCAGGGATGAGTTACCAACGTGAAGGGGAGGAGAAGAGTCTGCCTCCAGCAGTGAGACCTTCCCATCCAATGCAGAAGGCACCTTATATGCTGGGTATTGGGGAATTGCTGTTTCCACCTCCATGGGGCATGGCACCGCTAAATTAGAGTGGGCATTATTCGTAGAAACTCCATTGCAGGCAATACTTAGGAGCTGAAGTTTAAGTAAGTCTAGCCTATTTATAATTTCTTGTTGTTCCATCGCAGGTAACTCACCAAAGGAGGCGATAAGCTCTCTTTCCTCCTGGGGTGTCAGAGAGTTATTGGCACAATCGTAGTGTTTAGTTGTAGGAGTGGAGGCATTTTGGGACTGGCCCAGACATGGGGTGTACAGCTCAGCCCTCTTTTGTGGTTCAGGATGGGAGGGTTGTACCGTCTCCTTGATTAATCCCTCCGATAGGAGAGGTCTAATTATGGAATCCATGAAGACTCTCGTTGGAAAAATGCCAAGACTATTCAAAAACACTTTTTGCTTAATAATAAGAGAGGGATTTTTGCAGAGTGGAAAGCCAGCATCATTCTCTGATATCTGTTCTGTTGGATTAAGGGAAGCACAGCACAAAGATCTATTTGTGATGTCTCAAGTTTTAGAAGCCATCTGAGGTGCTCTTTAGTCCCATGTAGCGTTGCCCAACTTGGGTCCCTTTCCCGGAAGGTTAGGGAAATCTTCCTTGGCTGTAGAGTCAGGGATTGGCGATTCAGTGAGAGGTTGAGATTATATTTGCAGTTCTTCATGCGATCAGTGTTTGGTGGCGCTTTCTGCCGGCACAATGGAACATCTACTGCCCCATCTTGGGCTGTCTGAACCGGCTGGTCATGCAGTTTTTGCTGAAGGCTGTGCAGCTGAGAGGATAGGCCATCAATTCTCTTAAATATACAGTTTAGAGTTCTAATTATTAGATGGAGTTGCTCACAACCTGTGCAGTCCGCAGATTCGGCCACCAACACCTCCTTCGGATAGGGACCATCCCCATTTGTGTTACCATTGGCTTTTCCAATTTGTAGCGTCTCAGGGGCCTCATCTTTTGATGTTGTTTCAAGGGCCGTTAGAGGATCGAAACGATTTTGAATTGCTATTGAGTAGATACATTCCTCAGGGCCTCTCCCACCTTTAGGTAAACCCTTCCTTAATTGCTTAGGCCTCGGAGAGGATAATGCCTCGTCAGGGTCTCTTGGGCGTTTTCCATGGCCCATAAATCAATTTTGCAGGGGAACCGTCGTGAGCACTGTGCTGGGGAGCTCCTTAAATCCTTTAGTCTTCCTCACAGGAATACTACCACTTCCAGGAGAGTGGTGCTGTAAAATTAAATTTTTATTTTTTGGTAGATTTACAAAAAGAAAAACACACACCATTAAATAATTTTTTAGAAAGGTGCCAGATTGGATGTGGATGCACAAAGCATTTGTTTATTGTTTAAAAACTAGACGCCTTGTGCTCCACTCTGCTCCCTCTTTCATCCTGCCCAGGTTGGCTCTGCCCTCTGCCTCAGAGCCAGTGCATCAAAAGGGGCTGGACCTCAGTGACAGCAGCCTCTCCTCCTCGCCCGCTCTCCAGCAGCTGCTATGAGTGGCCCAAGAGAGGAGGCCAGCAGTGTCAGCCCTGGAGAGACAATGGGATGCTCTTTTGCAGCCGCAACCACTGTTGTCACTTGAGACAAGCACCGCCTCCTACTCCTCCTCCCTGAGCTTGGCAGCAGCAGCACTGGCGGGGTAACAAGGACATTCCAGGATCAAATCAGAAGCTGGGATGGCTTTCATAATTCTGGGACTGTCCCTGGACACTTGGAGGGTATGCCAGCCCTACTTGGAATTGCTGGGGGTTGACCCTGAGACCTTCTGTGTGCAAATAAGATGCTTTACCATAGAGCTAAGTGCCCCTTCCCTGAAGTAGGGATGGACTGACTTGACTCATGGATAGTCATGGAGGTTGGGCAGAGAGGCCTTCAGCCCCCCGGCCTATGCTTCTAAAACAGATTGTGTGTAAAGTGGTACCTCAGGTTACAGACGCTTCAGGTTACAGACTCCGCTAACCCAGAAATAATACCTCGGGTTAAGAAGGGATCATTGTCAGATAGGTCCATCACTTTGCTCACAGCATTCCCCAAACCTTCTCTAACTAGGGAGGACAGACTCATTGACTTTTAAGACTTTGGGCTGTGAGTAAAGCCACGTTTGCTAAAGCTTCTCTTTTTTTCTGCAAATCACAACTATTAAAGGTACAGGAGTCCTGCCTCATTTTCAAATGACCACTCTGTCTAGTTATTCAGCATTAAACAGCAGCAGACTCTCTATTTTCCAGGGGCAGTCCCAGATTTGCAGAACCTGTCCCAGTTTCTGATTTGATCATAGAATGACCTGCTCTTAGGACATCCTTATTTTCAGCAGAGAAATGTTGAAGGGTATGGTAGGATGTACCTATTTTGGTCAGAGGGTATGGAGTTAAGTGACCCGTGAGCCAAAGAGATAAGTAACTATACAACCTTTAGAAGACATCCAAAGTCAGACCTGTACAGTGGTACCTCGGGTTACAGATGCTTCAGGTTACAGACGCTTCAGGTTACAGGCTAACCCAGAAATAGTACCTCGGGTTAAGAACTTTGCTTCAGGATGAGAACAGAAATCGTGCTCCGGCGGTGCGGCGGCAGCAGGAGGCCCCATTAGCTAAAGTGGTACCTCAGGTTAAGAACATTTTCAGATTAAGAACGGACCTCTGGAACGAATTATATTCTTAACCCGAGGTGCCACTGTATGTTGCAATGTGTGATTCGTGCAAATGATACACTTTTTTCACACTACAATTTCGCATATAGTGAAACAGTCACGAATGTGGTGTTGAGGGGAATGACATTCACACAGGAAATTGTGACATTAGCAGTGCAATTCTATATCTGCTTACTCATAACAAAGCCTCTAGGCCTTCAGAATGTCTTCATGCTTTTCATTTCATACAGTAGGAACATAAACTTTTTTGAAAAGAAAGCTGTGATTATAATGCATCTATTTTGTTAAGGAACTGTGTCTTTTCTTTACCAGGCTAGTTATAATGCTTCTGTAAAAATAAATATAAATAAAAATAAATAAATAGAAGCTCCTGAATTCTAGAATACCTGAACTGCCAAGTTGTGCTCGTGTTCAAAGAGCTTTCATTATTATTATTTTAATCTCCAAAGATAGATTGTAAGGCTAGCCTGGGAACATGAAAAGCAATTATCAAAATCCACTAAATGAAACTTAAGGCTACCCAAGACATACCAGTTCTTGCTGTGAGAAAATTCAAGATATCGTGTATGGTTTGTTTCCCCCCCAACAAAAATGAGATTATGCATTAATAAGCTTTAGAGAATTGTTTACCTCTAGGAAAAAATAGAATGAATTGTCTTTCTAGGTGAAAGCTGCTAGTATAGTTTAAATACAGATTTATTAAAGACAGAGAAGTCAATTCTGAAGAGAAACTTTTTTATTCAACTTGTGTGTATACCTGGATCTAAGGATGTAGGCCTAGCATAGAAAGGGTAGACAACCCTGACCCAGACATGCTACTCCTGTAGAAAGCTAAAATGGGCTGAAGCCCCAATCCCCCCTGCCCTTACACACAGTTAGAGGAGACATATAGCGGACTGAAGATCAGGCCTGTTGGAAGATTTGTGGGGTCCTTTGTAGGTGTGGGTCAGAAATTCAACTGAGTTTGTCTCCAAATCTGCCAAATTCACACTTTCCGAAACAATAAGCAAATGAAAATGTGGCCATTCTTGGAAATTTGCCCTTCTCCGAATTTTGCAATGAAGTTCTCCAAGCAGGTAATATGGAAGATGAAGATAGAAGAAGAAGAAGAAGAAGAAGAAGAAGAAGAAGAAGAAGAAGAAGAAGAAGATGATACTGGTGTAAAGTGTACATAAAAATGCATTATGCTCAGGGTAATTGCTTTGCAAAATATGTATTATTAGGCAAAATTTCACACACACAAAATGGGTTGATTGGGAGAAATTTGCACTAAGATGCTGATGAATTCTCATGATGACTTTAAAAAAATTGTGTATTGATAAGGAGATTTGGAGAGCTGAATGCAGGATGGGGCAGGGGAGTGAATGAGAAACTGAGAGACACAGAAATTGACAGATTCACCCATCCCTAGGACTTGGGGCTGGTTCCCAGTCATCTTGGGTAGAGCAGCAGAGACTTTCCCACCATCAGTGCTCCTCTCAACTGATGGAGGCAAGCAGGGAGGTGACTGTACACCTTCCTAGTGCTCTCTATCAGCATTGGGCGGTTAGGATTGCTCTGTTAATACTGAAGTGATTTAAGAAGAACGCATATATGCACGAAACAACCATTGGCTCTTAAGGATCCACTCCACTTTTCGTCTTTTGGGTCTGATGAATGGTTCCTGCAGGGAAATTGACTTGAGTTTGATACATGGCATCATTAGCAGCCAGACCCTGCTATAGTGACATTCATTTATCTGACTCCATGAGTATTATTAATCAGGATAATTGGCCTTGCAGGCAATATTTCCTGATTTCATTTATTTTCATAAGAGAACTCTGAGGTAGGTAGGACACTTTGATTCCCATTTTACAGAAGGGAACGGTGTTTATTGTTATTTTGACGATCTTTTAATGGCTATGCCTGAGGCTCAATGAAAGCCCTGATACGAGCACACTTTTGTATCAAAAAAGAATAGAGGTGGGTTTTAAAATGGCTTCTTCAGTTTGGCCTTGCCCCTGTTTTCATACCAAAATAGCTAATGGGATGTGCATTATATTGAGAAAGAGGAGCCTGCCCTCACTCTCTCTACCCTTGAGCGCCACAAACTTTAGGATATGAATTAAGGACACTGGGTCCATTAAATTAAACGAGAAAAA